GGATATTATACTTTTGGGATTTTGTTCTTTTAGGATTTAGTGTATTGAAATTTAGTACCTTTGGGATTTTGATCTTTAGGATTTTGACCCAAACCCCGGATTTTTTGACATGTAAAATTAGGTATGTAGACCGGAATTGGGTTAACTCAATCAAGTAAGTGAACCTAATTTGGTTAAAGCTGATCTAATTCGGTTCACATGAATCTGAAAATTTGTGATTGCTTGCGATTGCTTGTGATTACTGCATCATAATACGTATCTTAACTGGGCTGAATTTTATGTCACGTGACCTTTTCGTGTGGCTTAGCCAAGCGGATAGGCCTCATCTGTAATAAATTTTCATTTTGGGACTCTATTCTCTATTTTTTGTGCCTTATTTGCAAGCTTCCCGAAAATTTTTGACAAACTTTAGGAATAGGCATATTTTTCGATTACATTCTCAATTTCTCTATAAAGAAAAATACAAAACTCTCTCTTTTTATGGATTTTGAATTCCTGCACTCATTTCATGCATTGATGGCTAAACAATACAATTCCCCTTCCAAGAATTCACTTCCTAAATATATTAATAATGAAACTAAAAGTGATTGGATTAAAAGAATGGTTATCGAAAAATATATAAAATTTATTAATTACACGGAATTTGAAGATTTGATTTTTCTTAAAACTGGTGGCTCGGGAATCGTTCATCAAGCGAAGTGGAAAAATAAAGAATATGTTGCAATAAAACAAATTGCAATTGCACATGATAAGACAACGATTGAAATGTCTGATCATGAAGAATTAATAAAAGAGGTATGATTAAGGGTCTCGGCTAGTAAAAAAATTTTGGCTATCTCTTTCCATTTTTTTGTCTTTTAATGCTCCATCATAATTAATTTTAGTTAAAAGCCTATCATTTCATTGACGAAGAGGGCCACAAAAACATTATTAAATTCTTTGGTATATCAAGGTAAGATAATAGATTTTATGTGTAATTTATATTTAATTACGGTTTTATGAACATTTAAAAATTTTCTAGCATGAATACAAAGAATATAGAAAATTGTATGTACAAAAAATATTGACATTATCTGATATCCTATATGATCTGTGAAGTTTTTTCTGTGATTTTTGCTATACAATGGCATAATTTTATGGTAAAAATATCTTCTCCAGCGTAACTATCAGAAAAAGCACGGACACATGATATTAGATTCATTTATGTTAGAATTAGCGTTTAAATTGCAGCAGTTTCAAAAAGATGTGGACAACAATTTCCATGAACTTATATGAGAAGTCAAAGAATTTGGAAATTATGCTTAGTAAAAATTAAAAATCAGAATAGAGCAGGTCTTAAAAATGCATTGCTATGCCAAATCAAATACAACCTAATTATAGCTGTTTTCAAAAAGGTGCGAACGAACATTAATCACCATATCATGGGAAATTAACACTTTCCAGAGTTTAAAGACCCGCTCTATTTGGATTTTGACTAGGGATGGGCAAAATCGTGATTTTTTAAATTTTCTGCGCAGGCTGCGCAGCCTGCGCATGATATACTGTATAGTAGAGATATAATTCTATTCCAGTTGGCCAGAATTATGCCAGCTAGCCTGAATTTAAAATCACACTGCGCAGCCTCTCAAAAATTCTACGCAGTGGCCCATCCCTAATTTTGACATTTTCAAAATCTGAATTTTTGGATTTTTTGATTTCCCACATAGGTATCTGAAATTGTTGTTTACAGCTGTTTTCAAAAAGGTGTGAACGAACGTAGATCACCATATCAAGGGAAATTGATGATATTTCCCAGATTTCCGGAGTTTTAAAGACCCGCTCTATTTGGATTTTGAATTTTTCCTAATCAGAATTTTAAGATTCTTTTGATTCCCATATAGGTATATGGAAATCGTTGTTCACACCTTTTTGAAAACAGCTGTAAAAACAGCTTAAACTACTATTCTCTTGAAACTTGGGGAATATCGTGTATTTCCTAAATAGTAATCTATGTTCATTCACATCTTTTTGAAAACAACTTAAGGTTAAATGTTAGCAGTTCTTATATAATAAAAATTGCTTAAGGAAAATTTTTATTGGATTTCTAAGGTATTTTGAAAAGCAAGCAATTTTTTTCCAAACTGACATTTTAGATGTTCCTACTTTTTTGATACGTACGTAAGTACCCTAAATTTTTATTATTACGTACTACTTTTTTGATCACATGTTTTTACTAAAATAATAACGGGCGGTTATTATTTATACCCCTAGAATTTTATATTGTTGAAAATTTTTTTATATATGCATATAATCAAATTAATATTGAAAAAGTTCATTAAATTTAAGATGTCTCGACAACTACCTAACAAAACTCGATGTAATTTTTTATCTTAATTCTACATGTAGAATTCGTTCAAATTTTAAAAACATTTTGTTTGAATTTTCTTAAGGTTAAATTCAATGAAATTTTTTTATAATTCTACATATATTTTAAATTAAAATAAAAAAATTTTATTGAGTTTTTTATGTGATTATCGAGATATCTTCTCTCAAAATTTAAAAACGTGCTATTTTGATAGATAATTTATTTTTTATTCTAGGTATATTCAAAATTAAATAAATATTGATGGAATTTGGTTAGATAGCATTCAAGATATTTTCTATTGAAAGTACAATTATATTGGTTATTTCGTCAGCTACTGTACGTATGTTTCAAAAGTTTCTTTAAGTTTTGCCGTTGCAGAAAGCCTACAGACACGCACCGATTCTATAATTATGACCCTAGCATCACCACCCTAGAAAATTTTACTACCGGCATTAGGGTTAGGGTTTGGGTGTATTTTGTTTTGATTTTACGTTACACCTCATCTTGAATTTTAATTTGACCAGATAGCTAAATTTTTTAGGTTGGTGACGTTTGGGTAGTGATGGGCAAATCACGGTTTTCCAAAATATCCCGCGCGGGATGCGGGTTACGCGCGTGATCCGCGCATGATGCGCGGGATAGGATTACATTGTGGGCCGGCTGGCCTGAATTGGGGATCATGTTAAAAATCCCACGCACCGATCGCGTGATAACATTGCCAAAAACTTTGATCGAGGATATCTCAACTGAATTTTTTTTTAGATTCTATGGATTCCAAGAATTCAAATAAAAAATATTATTGAATGGTTGTTGAGATACCTTTCCCGACTTCTTGAACAAAATTTTTCTTTTATTTAGATTCTATAGATTTCAAAAAATTTTATCGAATTTTGTTCAGTGGTTGTTGAAATACCTTTTCACAGCTTCGTATTTTTGAAGATATCTATATCTTGGCAAATTATCCAACTAAGTTCAATGATTTTTTTTTTTTATCTAGAGTTTACAGCTTTTAAGATTCTTTGATCGAATTGGTTGAGATGTCTTAGATCAAAATTTTCATAACAACTACCTAACTAATTTGATCAAAATTTTTTATTTGAATTCCTAAAATCCATAAAATCTAAATAAAATAAAAAAAATTCATTGAATTTAGTAAGGTGGTTTTCGAGATATCTTTGATCAAAGTTTTAAGAAATTTCGAACATCTATCAATTGATCGAAGGTATCTCAACAACTGCCCAACCAAATTTGATCTATAAAATCTTAAAATCTATAGAATCTAAATCAAGAAATTCATTTAATTTAATTAGGTGATTGTCAAGATATCTTCGATCAAAGTTATAAAAAAATGGGCGTGGTAATAATTATTATGATTATTAAATTCGGATTTAATGATTAAATCCGGATTTATGATTAAATCCGGATATATTAATTAAATCCGAATTCAAGTATTAACGTTAACTCTAAAAAAAAATTCACACGATCATATAAAATTTCGGATATATTTATTATCATAATATGCTTAATAAAATCTTGTAATTTTAGTTCTTAACGTTAACGTCAAGGAAGAGTTTTCCCTTGTATTGGAATATGCTGATCTTGGTGATTTACGAAGCTATTTATCTAGAAATATTTTAACGTGGGAACAAAAGGTTGATATTGCGCGACATATCGCATGTGGTCTACAGTTTCTTCACAATAATGAAATTTTACATCGTGATTTAGTAAGTTTTTCATTCTCGCAACGGTTGCTCGACAGTCCATAATAACATTAATTACTTTTTTTTAGCACCCGGGGAATGTGGTCATTAAAAATGACAATACTCTTAAATTTGGCATTAGGGCAATTATTATCGATTTTGGTCTTTCCAAAATTGTTTCTCGTAATAGTATATCAGGCCAAGGCATAAAAGGAATTATAAAATTTATGGATCCTATCATAATTAATGAATTTGATGGGGAGTTTGGAGACATGTATACTTACTCATCAGATATATATAGCCTGGGATTTATAATGTGGGATATTTCAGGCAATGGCCAAATGTTAAAAAATGAAAATGGGCAGGTAGAAATAATAAAAAAATTACGAGGAATACAAGAAAAACCAGTACCTGGATCCACCCTTTCTTACATTGAGCTTTACGAGAAATGTTGGGATAAAAGTCCTGAGAATCGACCTAATATTAACCAGGTTTGTGAATTAATTGATAAAGAAGATATCATAAATGGCAAAGAGTGGAAAGAAACAAATGAAGTTTCCACGGGCTATTGCTATCAAAATGGAATTGGAGTTGAAAAGGATGAACGTAAAGCATTTATTTATTATAAAAAAGCTGCTGATATGGGTCATAATAAGGGAGCATATTATGCTGGTTATTTCTATCAAAATGGAATTGGAGTTGAAAAGGATGAACACAAGGCGTTCATTTATTATCAAAAATCTGCAGATATGGGTGACTCTGATGGAATGTACCAAATGGGCTGTTGTTGTCTAGACGAAATTGGAGTTAAAAAGAATGAATATAAAGCATTTATTCACTATCAAAAATCTGCTAATCTGGGTAATGTTAACGGAATGTTTACACTTGGATATTGTTACAGAAATGGTGTTGGCGTTAAAAAAGATGAATATAAGGCCAATTATTGGAATCTAAAGTATTCAATTTATTTTTCTATGATTTTATTTACTTATTTATTATTGTCAATAACACCTAACAATTTAGGGGAGAAGCTCGATTATTAGGTAAGTTTATTAATAAAAATTTTCCTCAACAGTAGTTAAATCTAACTCAAAGTTTTTAGACGTAAATGAACGGGCCCGTGAAAATTCTGATATTGATGATAATTTAAAAAGAATATTGACTGAAAATAATTGTCCATTATTATGGATTCCTTATAACGAGTTTAATAATATTGAGAAAATAGGACAAGGTGCATTTGCCACAGTATTTTATGCTAAATGGCAAGATCAAAATAATGCAACAAGAGAAGTTGCTCTTAAATTACTTCATGGGTCAAAAGGTTGCCATGATGAATTTACAAAAGAGGTGATTATATTTTGTTTAAGCCTTTATAATTTATTTTGCGTCAATTATCTAAATAGTAAATTTTCATTAAATAACAAAGTTTAAGTCATTTTGCGATATAAACAATGAAAACCCTACATTTTTAAAATGTTATGGAATATCAAAAGATTTTATTTCTGAAGATTATATCATTGTTATGGAATACGCCTCAAAGGGTTCTTTACGTCAAAATTTGCAGGTTATATCTCAAATGAAATGGAAAGACAAATTAAATATATTACATCAAATTGCTCTCGATCTTCAGGCGATTCATTCACAGAATCTAATTCATCGTGATTTACATAGTGGAAACATATTGCAAAATAGCTTACATAATGCATATATTACAGATTTAGGACTTACAATATCAACTAATATGGCTTTAAAAATAGGAACTGATAGTGTTTATGGAGTCATACCATACATGGCCCCAGAAATTTTCATTGGAGAACCGTGTACCATAGCATCTGACATTTACTCATTTGGCATAATAATGTGGGAAATTTCATCCGGGAAACTTCCATTTTATGATCGAAAACATGATTCTGATTTCGTAAAAGATATATGTGATGGTCTTCGTCCAAAATTTGCAAAAGAAATACCTTATCTTTACATTGATTTGGCAAACCAATGCATGAATGCAACCCCTTCTAAACGTCCATCAGCAAATTTACTTCAAAAACTTCTAGACGATTGGATTAAAAATGAATTTTATATAACCATTTTTAAAGAAGCTGATGAGAATTTAAACATTTCTGAATCTAAATCTGTAGAGGATATCCATTTAAATACAATAAACACTTACCAACACCAACTAATAAAACGTTTAAATCTAAATTCAGATAATTATAGATCCATTATTTCACAGAAAAGTGATTACGAATTATTTAATTTAGATTTTATAGAAAAAGAATAATGCACCGCGTATAGCACTATACGTTGTACAAATAAAGAGCTGAAAAACGCTGAAAACTAGTTGTTAATAGAAAAAAATAGCTATTTGAAATATTATTATATTTGCAATCATCATATTCATTAAAAAGTTTGATCTAGAAAGATTTTTTAGTAAGAGTTCTTTGTCTATCGACTTTCTTAGAATATAGAAATATTATTCTCATAACCCGGAGTATCTTAAGGCTTATTGACTAGCGAAGTTCAAAAAATATATATAATCAATCAAAACTTGCCTTATTTCGTTAAACTATACCAATTTGATTTAGTTCGTTTCCAGCATCTGATTGGCTGGCAAAAATATTGCCTTACTGATCTCGAAAAATTGGTTAGTGTCATTGTCATATGTTTATATAAAATACCCGAATGATAAAAAATTTTCGGATTTTTGTATCATATTAAGGCCACCTCAGGGACGTGGGGATTTTGTGATATAATTTAGCAAATTATGTTTTCGTTATCAGCAAATTATTTGATTTACTGCTGATAAATAATTATGTACGGATTTATTACATTTATAAAAAAAAAAACTTACAATTTTTCAAAAAAAAAGTTGCACTAAAAATTTAAATTGATTTTTTACATGCAAATAGTTAATAATTTGATTTGTTTG